GTTTAGTTTGTAGTTAAGCACAGAGCTGAACAATGGGCTATCTGTTCACCACAGGTATCGAAATCCACTTTCTAGCACTCTAAGTCCGCAGACATACCTCTGTGCCACATCATTTACAATTTGTTTGTTTAGTTTGTAGTTAAGCACAGAGCTGAACAATGGGCTATCTGTTCACCACAGGTATCGAAATCCACTTTCTAGCACTCTAAGTCCGCAGACATACCTCTGTGCCACATCATTTACAGAGTAAACGTTTTTTTTATTTCACTACGTTTCACTTGGCATGATCAAGCGATTTACAAGTAATGATTAAAAATAGATTTAAACTGAAGAAAATCACACGAGCATCAAAAGGGATGTACCAAGCAATTATAATTACTAATATTTGAACAATATGTTTGTTTTAACGTAACTGTATAGTGTAAGGCATTATTAAATTTACATGAGAAAATAAGAATTTGGATAACATATTACGAAGTTAAAGGTGTTCATCATCTAACGATCAATTATGTAAAATCAAAAAATCCCGTTTAGGTCAAGCCTAAGTAAAAAAATCCATATAGATTAAGCCTAAGTATGGATTTACTTGTTAAGAAATCGAGAATAAAATAATTACGGTAAATACAATAGACCGCCGTTGTTTAAATTGGGGTTCTATTTTCTTATTTCTAGAACTTCTTTTATGTTTGTTTATTTTACTCTCTCTCTCTGTTTAAAACTTTAACTTTGGAGAAATCAAAGGAATGGTTGTATTTAGACATATGTTTCTATATATATGGGAAGAAGGTTTCAAATGTTCTTGCAAACAAGAGAAAAGCTTCAGGTTTGTTTCTCCAATCCTCACCTGCAATTTAAACTAAAGGAAAGCACGTGAGTAACAAAAGTGACCTATCAAGCAATTATAACAAAGAACAATATTCAAACAAAATGTTTGTTTCAGTGTAACAATATACTTTAAGGCATTATTAAATTTACAGGAATTTGTTTGTTTGTTATTAAGTAGGAAGATACACAATGGGCTATTTGTACTGTGCTCAAACGGGTATCGAAACCCGATTTTTTTAGTGTTATAATTTCTTAGACTTATCACTGAGCTACTCAGGAGATATTTACATGAAGAAATAAATGATAAACCGAATGATAGAGTTAGCCTCACATTTATATTTTATTATTTTAATCAGCTTGTTGGCTGAATAATTCAAAAGCATAAATTAGTAGAATCAATGCTGCATATTTTTGAAATTCCTATATAAAACAGGATTACTGTGTGAGTAAAGGTAATAAAACAACCTTATGAAAGTTATTCACTAAATTTGTAAGATATGGATATATTCCCACAAACGCATTTTCAAATCACTATTATTTTAAGCGGATTTGTACGCGCAAAGTCTCTATAGGTGATAATACACAGGGAATATTCCAGTCTCCTTAAGCATCTAATAACTGCTTCTGTCCAAGGTGAATTTTAGCTCAAACAGAACCCCTTGTACAGATGTTATCCAGACATATTATACGCCTTTAAATCAATTGATAAGCTTTCTGTATTAAACCTTATGTTAGGGAACACTACAGACGATATATATTGTTTACATAAACTTATTAAGTCTAATCACGCTGTCGATGTTATATCTATTGACAACTTCATAAGCTCTCTGTGTTAAATCCTGTGTTGAATAACCCAACGACACTATCTTAACAAGTTAATAAGTTCTATACATAAAATTTGTAATGAGTAACACTACGGACACTACAACTTAACAAGCTTTCTCAACATCTTGTGTTGAGTAACCATACGGACGCTACATTAATATGATGATAAGTTCTCTGTATCAAACCTCGTGATGAGGAACACTATGGACGCTATATTAATAATAAGATAAGCCCTTTGTATTAAATCATATTTTACCTATTCATATGAACGCTGCATTATCAAGTTGGTAAGCTGTCTCTATGTACGCTTTACTCATATTA